GCTTTTGAAATCTTGATGTCAAAATCCAGCATTTTTCCAAAAAACCCTGGCGCCTAAAGAGTTAATATAGTAAATGTATTATTTTTGCAAAAAATAAATTAAATACTTTAAAATTAGTTAAAAAAAAAAAAGTATAAATAATGTATTTATATTATTATATTTGTATTATTTTGTATACACACACACACAAACACACACACACACACACACACACACACAGCACAGGGCTACTGATGTACATAGAAATGTATTATTAGAATTTAGTAAAAAATATGATTAAATATATTAAAATGAATATGAAAGTAATATAATTTATTTACATAAATAGTATGTTTATATTAATATATAAAGTGCTAAAAATAATTTCATCAAATAATTTTTAAATATACGTAGATGTAATATTTAGTATACAATGAATGTAAATATATTTTAATAATATAATATACTTATATCAGTGCATTAAGTGTTATTTTAGTAAAAAAAATACATTAGGTGCAATTAATATATTAAAATTAGTTAAACTAATATAAAAAACAAATGTATTAAAATAGATAATATGTTTGTATTAAAGTATTACATGTGTTATATTAAATATATTTAATAAATGATATTGTATATAAATAAAATGTATTTAATAAATAATAGTAAAAAATAATGACATTAAATTAAATACATTTAGTATATTAATATTAATTCAAAACTAATATAAAAATAAAATTTATTAATATAAATAATTAAGATAAAAGTATATATATATATACGTGTGTGTATTTTTGGTCGTTTTAAGCATAAAGTCACAAAATTTTGGTCTGTTTTTCAGAAGACAAGACTTATATTTTAAAGTCATTTTGCTTCTTAAGTAAATGTCTTTTGATTTTAAGAATGTTTTGATATTTGTACTGTAAAATAAGACAAAAATACGGAGGAAAAACATGATTTTTTGCAGTGACGTTTTCTCTATAGAAATGGTGCTTTATGGGTAGCTCTAGACTTCCATTAGAAGTGCATTACTGTAAAAGCGGATATTAATGGACGGTCCGTGTGATGTGAGTCATAATGAACCGAGAGCATTGCTTTAAGACAGTAGTTTAGATATTTAAACCGCTGCAAATGATCTGCCATGTTTTTGATAGTTTGCTTTTGCTTTGGTTTGTGTTTGCGATGTGAGCTTGTGAAACTCAAACCTGTCATTCTGTGTTGAGAGTCCAGAAAAGTCCAATAGAGTAGGGTTTTTTTGTGAGTGTGTGTGTGTTGGTTTGAGGTGATTTACCATAAAACGATCTGAAAAGATGAATGTTGTCATGTACTTCCAGTATGTGGACAGACTTTCTTTAGTCGACTAATAAATGAACTGAGTGTGTATGTTGGATATGTGTGTTGTCTGTAACCTCCTGTGACTTCTGTCTGTTTAAATGCATCTCAGCCAGACTTCACTGGCTCCGTATGAGAGTTGTAAGGTGTTTAAGCACAGATTTTAGTAATGCTGGACTAAAGAGGTTGTGTTTGAGTTCCTGAGAGCTGTTTTAGCGGAGCAGGACGCCATCAGACGGGTTTTGCGGTACAGTAACACATCTGGAGTGATACCTGTGTGCTGTTGCTTTAAGCATGATGTTTTTCAAACTGATTGAGTTCCAGACATCTGCCATGTTTCTGACTGTAGATCCATAGAGTTTCCCATCTCGCATCATCTTTTTACCTTTAAAGTCAACATGAAATGCATTTAAAACCTTATTAATTTACATTACATTTAGTCAGTAAGCAGATGCTTTTATCCAAAGCGACTTACAAATGAGGACAATAAAAGCAGTCAAAACTAACAAAAGAGCAATAATATACAAGTGCTATAACAAGTCTCAGTTAGCTTAACGCAGTACACATAGCAAGGGTTTTTAAAAATTATGTAATAAATAAAAATAAATCAGATAGAATACAAAAAGATTAGAAAGCAAGTGTTAGTGTTTTTTTTTTAAAGAAAACAAGCAGCAAATGAATAGTGCAAGAATAAAAGGGACAAGTGTTTTTTCTTTTTTTAAGAATAGAATTAGAGGATCAAATAAAGATGGAAGAGATGTGTTTTTAGGCTAAGGACTCAGCAATATTTACAATATTATCTGACATTAATAACAATATCCAATAGCCTGCAGGATGTCACATGCAAAAAAGGAATGACTTGCACTGATAAATTATTAACAATGTGTTTAACATGTTTGAACGTGTTTGTTTCGTCTTGTTTTTCAGCACAAATATCTAAACGTTCTTAAATGAGGATATATTTACTGAAGTCTTGTTTTCAGAAAAAAATGATCAAAATGAACTAATCTTAATATATGAAATGTATTAAAATAAGTGTATTGACATATAAAGAAATATGTTTTTTGTTAGTTTAATACTAATCTAAATATATAAAAATATATTTCATAAAATGATTTTTAGTAAAATAATATACTTATGCTAATACATTTTTGAAATATTTTCTGAACAATTTAGCAAAGTTTAGTGACTTTTTTCCTTAAAACAAGATATATTAATCAATATTAATAAATTATATGTATTTGTTTTATACTAATCTAAATAATTAAGAATCATTATTATTAATAATAAATAATAATAAAAATGCATTTTAATAAATTATTTTCAGTAAAATAACACATTTGTATATAAATCTAATTTTATGAAAATTGTATCAAAATGTAGTGACTTTATGCTTAAAGCAAGTAAAAATATCTGCTAATGGGGTTAGAAAAATCAACTTGATTCAAAGGGAAAACAAGTTTATTTGACTTCGTTTGTAGATATTTTTTCTTGTTTTAAGCATAAACTCACTTCATTTTGAACCATTTTTTCAGACTTAAAATCTCAAGTCATTTAAAAATCTCAAGTCATTTCTCTTCTGAAGTAAATGTATGTTTATTTAAGAAAACAAGACAAAAATACTATGCAAAAAAAAAAATTTTTTTTTTGCAGTGTAAATAGATTCAGTATTGAGCTCATGTTGACTTTATTGGCTTAATCACTGTTTGACTTGATTTGAATGAGAATCTCACCTCTGATTCAGCCAGTGTTGGTGTTTCTCCCGTGTGACTGATTCATGAGCCGCTGCAGTGTGTTTGGTAACTCATGGCGGTGTGTTGGCAGGATGGGGTGGAGGGCGAGATGAACGGAGTGCCTGAGAGGAGCTCGAAGGAGCCGAGTCCCATCCCGTCTCCGAGCGCAGACAGATGGGGCAGAGGCAGTCAGTCGGCCACACTGCCGGCGAAGGGTCAGGAGACGGCGTCTGCGCAGCTGGAGGGACTCCTGCACCGCAAACACGAGTGGGAGGGACACAACAAGAAAGCCTCCAGCAGGTATGATGATCACTGTCCACAATTCACATTAAAATCTAGATTATTATAGATGACTAAAACTAAAATATGAATATTTTCATTGCTTAAAATAAACATTTCCTATAATAAAATAACCCATTTAAAAATGATCTCAGCTAATGCTGTTAAAGCAGCATTTCTCATTTTCACCAAAATTACTAGAACTAAAACTGAATAAAAACTAGATCATAAAAACAACAAAATTACCAAAACTTTAAAATCAAAATGAAAGCAGAAAATGAAAAAAAAAAAAAAAAAAAAAAACA